GGGGGGGGGGGGGGGGGGGGGGGGGGGGGGGGGGGCAACGTTGAGACGGGGGTGGACGAGTAGAGCTACATGGCGTAAGAGAAGTATGCGTTTTGTCTGTCCGCGAGGAGAAGGAAGGCGGAGATCGGTACGCCGCGCACGACAAATCATTGACGTGCGCCAAGGCACCGACGGCCCCGGCAAAACCTCGGCAACGAAAAAACAAAATTCAAAACAGTACAGAACTCTGCGAAGCAGCAGCAAAGACGAAAGGCACAACAAACACGAGTGCCCTTTCTTCGATTGCACACATATTTTCTGAAAACACAAACAAGAACCACAATAACACCCTTGCCCCCCGCCCCTCCCCCACCCCGGTTCCTCTGCCCGAAAGGTCAGTCCCCCGGGCCGCCTCCAGCACACACAACAAGCCCCCACACGAAACGCCCGAAAAACGCGCCAAGTACGTGTCTAACCAGCACACACAAAAGAGGAAACGGTCGAAAGTACCATTACATACGTGCGACAGGCACACACGAGGAAGACCCAACACATGAAATGCCCGAAAGTATACATGTGTCCGACAGGACAACGCACGAAACGCCCGAGTGTATGTACGTGTCCGACAAGACATACAGAAACAAAAAGACCCACCGCACGAAACGTCCAAAGAACGCGAAGTACGTGTCCAGGAAGGCGTTCTCCCTCCTCCCGACCCTGCCGTCCCTCGTGATCTCCTCCCTGGTCGCGGGCAGCGGCAGCACCACTGCTGTCGCGGCCTCCTTCGCCACTTCGGCCGCCTCCGCCGCCTCCTTAGCCTCGTGCGCCGCAATCTCCGACCTTGCGTTCGCCTCTGCCAGCCGGGCCTTCGCCTCTACGGCCCGCGCAGCGGCCGCGTCCGCCTCCTGGGTATCCGTACCGACCAAGTCCCCGGGAGACGGCGTCGCAGCCACTGGCGGCTGCGGCTGCGGCTGCGGCGCCGCGGACGGGGGCGGCGGACGGGGCGGCGGCGGCGGCGATATCGACGACGAGGCCGAGGAAGCAGCCCTTCCCGCCGCTGCTCTCGCCGCGGCATGGCCGGAGCCGTAGAAGGCGGCCTGCTGCGGGGAAATCCCACGGTGGTGATGATGATGGGGGTGTCGCTGTTGGTGCTGCTGTTGGTCTGTGATGCTGGGGGAGGGCACTGATCGGGAATCCTGCACGGGCTTCCACGCCAGCTGCCCGTTCGACTCCGGCTCCGGCTGGTACTGCTGCCGGTGCGGAGGCTCTCGGGCGTCGGAGGGCGGGGTGGTTCCTCCCCCCATGCCCGCGGATCCCCCTCCTCGCGACGACAAGGACTGGGTTTGCGGGTTTTGATGCACGTGGTGTTGTAGATGCCTCTGCGATGCAGAAAGCGGTGGTGGCGACACCTGACGTGCGAAAATGATATTCCCAGCGGATTAACTAGTTGCTTTCATGAGAATCTGTGATCATGAGAAACGGGCCTGGCCTGAAGGTGGCGGTGGGGACACCTGCCGTAATTCCAGCGGATTTTTCTTTTTTTCATGTGAAACGGGCCTGGTCTTCCCCCGTGGAAGAGGAGGAGAGGAAACGGGGGGTACCTCGTGTATAGCTAACCCCCTCGCCCCAAAAATATCATGGTCCGACGAGCTCGGTTACACAAAGACGGAAGGTAGCCGTCAGGTAAGGGCTCAAGGTTTTTCATCAGGTCGTTCCCAAGCTTTTCATTTGTCTCTTCCAAGTGCATCTCGAGATCGAACTAGCGGGAGGGGCCCGTGGGCCAAACCAAGTCGTCTACGAAACTTTCGACCAAACACGTGGGCCACGCTTGAGAACGCTTGAGTACCTTCCGGTGGCGGTGGTGGTCGTGGAGAACGTATCGGGAGGTGGACGAGTCCTGCTGAGCCACCACGGGTGCCGACCGCCAGACGCTCGGCGACGACGGTCGCATGGGGATATCCCCCGCCCCGCCAGAAGACACCTGCGGAACCCCCTTCGACGTCACTCGCATCTGCGGCTCCGCGCCCAGCGCCGGCGGCGCCGCCGGTGGCGCCACTCCCCACCCCCCCCCGGGATGTGGCGGGGCCCCCCCTCCTCGGCCGCCGCTCCCGGAGGAGTCTTGGCGGTCAGCCCTGGCGTCGCCGTCGCCCCGGTGATGAACGTGGCGGTAGTTGTGGCGCCCGTTTCTCGCGTCTCGCGACTGCTTTGGGGAGTGCACAGCACCGCTGCTGCTGCTGACGCTCCCGCCACCGCTGCGTGATGGGGAGGGGGGTCTCTGCGCGAAGCTGTTGTGAGAGTTGGCGGAGGCCGGGAGGAAGTTGTGACCAACGCTGCTGCCGTGAGGGGAGTGCGCCTGGCCATCGCCGCCGTAGGGGCTGGGGCCAGACCCTCTTCCTTCCGCGGGGCCCCTTCCTCCTTGGCTGGGATCGGCGGCGGCGGCGGTGGCCATGTCCATGGTATTTTCCCGGCGATGCTTCTGGCGCGGCGCTGCCGACTGCTGCGTGCACGGACAACACATGTAAGCACCGGATTTCGGATTTTCATTTTAGCGATCATGAAGGCGCTTGGCAGTCGCATGCAACGCCGGATGATCCACAGGTTCGAGGTGTGTACCAGAACCTGCACGCGCTTGTGACTACGAGATATCACGCTGGTCAAGCATCAAGCGACGGGAAACCAGGAGATGGAAAGATGGATTACGAATGCCATGCAGGACAGAAACACATCGCAGCGCAATCATATCAACCCCTTCGAACCCGCCCAAACATATACCTGGTACCAACGCAATAGCTAGCACAACACTGCTTCGACCCGTCATCTACCCGCCCGCGACCTCTTCTTCTGATAGCATGTAACAAAATACGACGGACAAACCGTGTCGCACCTACCATACGTGGTACGTGCATGTTGATCACAACCTTAAGAGATGTTCCGGTCGAGTCAACAAGAAGCAATGAAGCGCTTCTCTTTCCTGCCTATTCTTTCTATTTGGTCGAGAGCTTTTCGAAAATGAATACCGTGATAGTGGCTTTTTCTTCATCGTTGAGTAATCCAGCTTTAATAATCGGTCCGGGGGGGCGTGGTGTAGCCACAGTCTGAGTCCTCCATTGGTTAAGTGTGTGCGCGTACGACTATGCACTTTTCGCTTGCGAAATACGAGGTTCTTTTACAATGGCATGTGATCCCACACCCCATCAAGAGCCACCACGTGCGTGGCGACGCCAAAAACTGAACCACCTTAGCCGCTACTGCTGCAGTTTGTGTTACAAAGCTCTGGGTATGCACACTGCAAATCGGTGTTAAAGGAGTCCAAGCCACCAACTGAACCACACTAAAGCCGCTACTGCTGTTGTGTGGCCGAGCTGTTGGCATGCATTGATCCGCGCAGAGCTGCGGTGTTGAAGGTATCGAGGGCAACCACACCAATTCGCCACCACTGCTGTTGCGTGGCAGGTGCATAGACCCGCGCTTGACCGCCATCCCCAAGGGTTCGACGTTACCAACTGAACCACTTAGCCACCATGTTGCGTGACCGAGTTCATAGTATCTGGTATGCCGTGTTGAAGGAGCCGAGGATACCAACTGAAACATTAAATTAAGCCACTACCACTGTTGTTAAGTGGCCCATCTGTTGGCCCATGCCGTGTAGTCCAGGTTACCAAGTGCACCAATTAGCCGTTACAACATGCTGCTATTGTTCCGAGCCCTTCCTTGTGAGTTTCTTTCGACTCCCGCCGCCCGTACCTTCGAGCTGGATGACTTTCTCTTTCCCGAGAACACCCCCCGATCGCCGTGACCCCCATCAGATTCCGATCCTCCCCCGCTCCTGACAGTCAGCCGGACGTGACGGGGGGNGGGGGGGGGGGGGGGGGGGGGGGGGGGGGGGGGGGGGGGGGGGGGGGGGGTGAGAAGCGATGAACACAAGCAATGGAAGTAAACGCGAGTGTTTCGGTTCTTCACGTCCATGGCCCTGGACTTGACCCCCGCTGTTTTGTTGTCGAGCCTGCCGGCACGTGACGTGCTACTGTAGTAGCAGGCGGACTGGTTTCTAAAATGCACTTGTCTNCCCCCCCCCCCCCTCTGTCTCTACCTGTCTGTCTCGCTCTCTCCCTCTCCCTCCGTGTCCCTGTCTCCGATGGCACGACCATCATCCCTCACCTCCGGCTTGCCGACGACAGGCCTCGCTCCCTGCCGCCCCCGTTGGACCACGACGCCGCCGCCGCCGCGGCCGCCGCGGCCGCCGCCGATTCCGCCGCGGCCGAATCCGCCGCCGCCGCAGTCGCAGCCGCCATCGCCGACGCCGCAGAGCCCTTGCCGCCACCGCCGACGGCCCCAGTCTTGTTGGCACGCGGGGCCGGCGGACGGGAAGGTGTGTGTAGCGTCGGCGCCTCGCCCTCTCGGGGCTTGCGCTTGCGCCCGCTCTTCTGCTTCACGCTGAAGTGGCACACCAGCTTGAGCTGGGGATGGGGAGCGACCAACCAGCACACATGGGAGTTGGGATGTCAGTTTCTTACCATCACGTGTATGATCACAAATTGAAGCTTTTGGTGTTGAGGTTGATCGCACGAGCGTGCTGGAGGGTTGCTCCTGTTCGGTAACAACGGTGGCTAGTGTCTTCACGAAAAGACAGCGTTTGCTGCCTCTACCCAGATGCCCCCCGGACCGCAACACTATTGCATGGCCACCCGTTCAGACACAAAACGAAAATAATTGATGTTCTACCCGGGACTATCTGTGGAAGAGATGAACTTTATGCGTTTTTCGAAAGAAAAGTAATGATCAAATCAACACTGCACACTGGACAAGAGGGATCGGTGTTGTACGTTGGGAAAGAAGAGAATACACCAAGCCTAGGACCGCAGCGCCCCTCAAACCTATTATTATAGTATCGGAGTGACTCACGCACGTCCTAGGCAGTGTTTACCAAGGTAAAGTAAACCAGAGGTATCGTACACACCTTCGTAAAAGCTTCGAAAAATGTTCTTACGAAGATCGTCGACATCGACAGCATCTCAGCAACCGCCGTGCCCACGATGCAGTAGCCTTCGCGAGGATACTAAGTACTATTTTACGCTTGGTTTTAGTAGAAAGGGGTTGGGTTGAGGGTTAGGGGTAACGAACCTCCCTCTCTGATGTTCACATGTAACGCTTAGTCTTAACATCTTCAAGGAGGTCCCAGGGACGCTTGCGATTAGCGGGAGCTGCGGCATGACCTTGCGGTGGGCCCGCCAAAGCATAAATAAAATAGTGGGCATACAGCGACTGACCATCTCTCTCGCTGCTGTACAATCTGCGGCGGTGTTTCCGCGGAAAAGTCGTTAATCCATGTGAAAGCATGCACCGCCCACAACGACAGACCGAAAGAGCCTTCCACAAAAAGCCCCGGCCTGATTATTAGGAGAAACAAATATACACACAGAAAGACTACCCGTTCGAGGTATAACTACACTCGAAGGGGATGTGTTGAAGTCTTTACAGTGAGTAGAGGAAAACCAGCTATGTACAACCGATCTCGCAACAGCCAAAAAAAAAACTCTTGATGCTCGGAAGAATAAATACCGATATGGACATGGACATGAGCGATCTACAGCAGCAGTAGATCAGTAGGTCACAACAAACCGGTTCGAACGCACACTTGTTCAAGTATCATCCATGCAGCCAGGAGTAAGGGACGAGGGACAACTGCTGCCAACCTGACACCAAAACATGTCTGGGAGAAGAATAAATACGTTATCTGTCCACCGTTAACATTTTTTTTTTTTGTCTTCACTTCATCAATTTAGCGCGCACAGCACTAATGCCGTTTACTCCAACCCGCGGTCACACAGAAGAGTCCCTCTCTACTTTCCCCTTCTGCGGTACTTTGCCTCCGATCTTTAACGCGGGAAGAGTTCAGCACTCTCTTCCCTCTGTGTACACATGAACTAATAGCGCTATCCACGAGCGGAAGCGAGAGAAAAACTCACTGCGCAAAAAAAGCTAGCGTACGCCGGGATTCGAACCCCTGCCCTGTCCTCCACATAGTTTCCAAAATTGTTGTTGTTGTTGTTGTTGTTGACTTCACATTAAACCCTATGTTGTTGTTGTTGACTTCACATTAAACCGTATGCCAGTTGCTAAATGCCAAAATCTAGCAAAGACTCTCGGCCCGTGGTCACGAAAGTGCTGGAGCCATCTGAGGATCTAAAGAACACGCACACGTAGCAAGAAAAAGGTGTACAAGAGCCCGAAGAGGTACTACTACACCTATATATAATCCCTGCAGCACCGTACGCGTGCCCAAAACTGAACTACACGTCCGTCTCACCG